CTTCTTTACCATTCATTTTTAATGCTGTGTCTCGAATAGTCCTTGTTTTCCAGCTTCTCACTATGAAATGAAAAGTGGTCACATAAACTGTTTTCAATTCATTAAAGATTTATTCATGAGAGAAAGTCAAGCTAGATGTCATATGATTACTATGCTGTATGTCATAGAGTTCAGGACATTCCTTGGAGTTTAGATAATATAAAATTGTTCTCAATGTCATTTCAAACACTAAATAATACTCGCAATAAACAATTCAGTGTGTACAAATAGTATGTAAAACGTTAGTCAGCATTTGACTTAATGATAAATTGTTTTTGCTGACAAGTTCATTGTATCGACTATAGAACTTACGAACTTTACTTACTTTAAACGAGACAATTGATATTCTTGTTACAGCAACCTGTTTGACAATATCTTATCTCCGTTTTTAAAACTGATCATACGTAGAGCCTCGCCCTGTGTATCTAATCATCTGAGAGATATAAACAACATATGCAGATGATGACGGTATATTGCTGCATACGTAAGGGAAGTTTGAAAAGTTAAAGTCAACTCGTTTGTCATAAAGCTTGATTGTTAGATTACCATTAACGTCTTCTTCCAAAAAAAAAAAATTGAAACAGATGTGCAAGACTCTGTGGTATCTTTTACTTTGATCTCACCAGAATATATCGTATCGACTTACATGTAAGAATGGAAATAACCATCGTTAATTGACAATACTTCATCGATATATCTAAATATATATATATCTATATTACTAGAAATATCTATATAAAATAGCCGTAAAGTTTTAAACTTCGAAAATTATTAAAACAATAATCTTACATAAAAGACATTTTATAGCTTGGGCAATCATTAATTGAAAAAACAGTACTAGTATTTAACATTTTCATCGGAGGTGTGGATAGTGTGTGTTTAGAATTCCCCATTTCCAATTTATTTCAATTTTCCAGTTTATTTTAATTAATAAGCTTTCAGAAGCACTGTGCTCCGAATAGTCGACTATCGTTCGAACAATGCAATCGAATGTTCGACTAAGGAAAATTAATATCTTGACATCCCTTATTGGTACCCATGGGAATTCCAATACATTGTTGGACATGGTCTCCGAAAACAATATAGATATTGTCAATCAGAATCTCAAGCATCAGTTTGATGTCAACTTCAGAGTAGACACAATTTTGCAAACAACCAATGACAAGGTGAGTAAATTTAAGACTTCTTTTTTTATTGAAAAATCAGTTGTTAATGATAAACAAAAGCCTGGACTTTAATTAAACGTGCGGAATAGTGTTGAAAAGTCGCAAGATTTAATGCTGCTGATTTTGGTAAAAAATTTTGATTTCAGGTTGTCCAAAAGTCCCTTGATTTTCACCACTTCCGAATATGTTGTTGCACAGTACTCCTGAAGTTTCTCCTTCACAACTGTTAATATTTTCGTAAGAAGTATAGGTCTTATTCTGAAAGTAGTTAAATAATATTATAATAATTTATCTTTGAGGTAAAGTAATTTTGCGATGTGAATGTAAATATATGCACGGCAGTAAACAGCAAATAAGAGTACTACTAATGTAGAATCGACAAAGGTGAAGTATATTATACAATTATTGCTGTTTTTTGAGGTCAATACCATGATTTAGCCATCTGAGAAGTACAATATTCACCGAGCCCGAAGGGCGAGGTGAATATTGTTCTTCGAAGATGGCTAAATCATTGTATTGACCGAAAAAACAGCAATAATTGTTTTATTATATGATTCACTGATAAAATGATACAGCTCATTACTTGTTAACTTGCATTTAAAAAAGTCCTAGCCCAATACAAGAGAGAAACAGAATTAAAATGTGAATAAACCTTACCAGTCGTATCAATTTGAAATGTTTTTTTATCAAATTTAGTTGCCATGAAAAAAATAATATAATGTCAGTATTTTTATAGGATAGAATTTTAAAGGAAGGAGTATTATCAGGGAAAACTGACAGCCAAAAAGTAATAAAAACATGTTGTTCAGTAAAAGTGTTTGGGGGGGGGGGGTCCTCTCTTACCACTCTCACCCTAAAATATATATTCGCTTATGTTTTACTTCACTTGAAAAAAAAAATTCACAGTCGTTTGAATAGCTTTCCAAAACAATTTGTATCAATTTGGAATTTCCCAATCTATTTTTAGATCAATGTGGAGGAAATAAATCCTTGTATTGACCTGGAACGTCACGTGCAGGTCAATACAACGTAGTATTTTTCTAACATAGTTGGATCTCAGCCTATCAGAGAGATGGAAATTATTCAATCATATAATAAATTGACATGTTCTTGTGTTTATAAAGAGTCAGTTCATTACATATGCGTAATGACTGTGTAATTGAAATAATATGTCTTCATGTTACGTATTTTCTTTACGCTATTTGTCAGAAGACAATCCCAAATATTCAAATATTATGTTTACATGTAGATCGAACTATCTTTTATTTTCAAGACATTATGACATCATCGATCACTCCCGCATGCAATAAACACAGGTTGATCTATTGGTGTCAGTAATTAGGACCTTGCGTATACAGAGGTAGGTTATGATCATTGACCGAAAAAAATGGGCGGTTTTTTTTTTTACCTTAATGAGTTATAACCACGTACGTTATAACAATGTAGAGTCCCATTGTTAAAATATTCTCCGTTAAGTACATAACTTTTAAAAATGTGACCGAAATCGGTTCAGCACAATGTACAGGTTTTGATATTGCTTACATTTTTTATATAAAACCTGGCATTGTTATAAATTTTTACTTTAAATATTTATTGGATTCTCATTTCATCTTTTTATTGACCGAAAAAAAAAACAAAGACTTACTTTGCATTTAAATCATGTTTTTTTTTTTTAAAGAAAGAGTGAAAGGACTTAGTCAAGCGCACACATTTTGGTTTAAAATTAAATCGGGCATTTCTGCTTTATTTGGCTTGAATGTGAACAGTTATGAGAAAGTAGCATATTTAATATATTTAAAAGCTTGTATTCGTTGATATTAACTGCTATACGTTAATTTCCTCATTATGCTGAGTTATAGTTTTATTTTTCTCGGACTATTGACAATGAAGAAGGAAGGCTACACTGTATCAAGTATTTTAAGAATCTGAGAGGTATGGTATGTTGCTTCATTTTAAGGACGCCAATGTTTATATAATTCAGGTTAAGGTGATATTTTTTATCACAACAATGTCCTGGGAAAAAAATTTCCTTTTTTCTATTTGTACAGATCCGGTAATAGTAATTAACCAACAGAATTCGTTCAAATTCCTTCCTATCATTATCCAAAGCCATATTGCTGAACAATTGGTTGAAATGACTTGCGGTATTCTTTATGAAGATAGATCTAAAATACACCTAGATTTCTCTGTTAAAACGAAAAAAAATCTGTTGTGGTCGACATTTAAGCATGTTTCTCTAATTTTAATTTGCAAAAGAAGAAATAAGATGTCATTGCCACCAAGGGGTCTGACATAGAGATAAATAAGAATACTTACAGATTATAGTGTTCACTAATCATAATTGTTGTTAAAGTCAACAAACTTTTCTTTTATTTTGCTATAATTGTCAGAAATTTCAACAAAAACTTCAAATTGACATGGAATTCTGCTCTTAATCGTAACATTTATTGTAATTGGGAATATCTAGTATTTGTCGCCTACTAGAACTTTATATCTAAGAATAAGGATTTTCTTATGCAAAACCTTTTAAGAACCCTCTTTATGAAACATAATTATAAACATTTGAAGTGAACATTATTTACTATAAAAGTGAGATCATTGTTCGTTTGTCATTTATCCTTAACTAGCTAGGAATGAAGGAGTATCGTCGGCTGATTGTTAACGAATAGTTTCATGTGTTCTGCTAGCTCAAAGAAAAGCTTGAAACGAAATGTGTTAGTGCAAGCAATATACCTTCATCATCTGCATGAAACATATGGAGATAATGAACAGTATTCCAGATCAAAAGTCCACAAAACAATACAAAATAGGAGCAGAACAAACTTGGACCTCCAAAACATCAGTGTTGGGATCTGATGCCATGGAGGAGTGAGCATCCCCTGCCGACCGGTCACACCCGCCGTGTGCTCTTTGTCATGATCAGGAAATAACGGAAAAATCCGTCGTTAATTCAGTGTATAGATAATTGACTAACAATAAGAATGAAAAAACGTCTGACATTGTCAGCATTTGACTCAATGATAAGTTGTATTTGCTGACAAGGTAATTGCATACGGGGTTCTCAGTTCATTTGATACACAGAAACATGCTATACGTATGAACAATTTTTTAAACGAGGTAAGACATTGACAAACAAGTTGCTGAAACAAGAATATCAACAGTTTCGCTTAAAATCATAATTCCGTAAGTTCTATGGTCAATACAATGTCCTTGTCTGGCTTGTCAGCAAATACAATTCATTATTAAGTCAAATACTGACTGACTTTTTCATGTTGTTAGACCATTATATACACACTGAATTGTCGACAGAGTTTTTGCTATTTTCGTAATCATGAACAGGAGCACACGGCGGGTGTGACGGGTTGATGGGGGATGCTCACTCCTCCATGGCACCTGATCCTACCTCTGATGTTTTGGAGGTCCGTATTTGCTCTGCCCCTATTTTGTCTTGTTTAATGGCCTTCTGGGCATGAATACTGTTCGTTATCTCCATATTTTTCATCTTGACCTTCTCTGATTTTCAATGTTAATGTTACTATAACATATCTGGAATAATAAAAGGAATATATACACTTGTATATAAAATATCGATTTTATACTCCTTTTTTTCATTCCAAATGCCAGCAAAAGGTGACGCATATTACAGACCCTGTAGGCATTTCAGCCATATTGAACATTAATATTAAATGCGCTTTGCAAGATTTGTCCTCATTCGTCACTGTACTAGTATCTTTAATAGATCTGTTTGATAAAAAAAATCACAAAGAAATAACCGTTTTTTCTTCCTTTATATAAATACAAAAATTAAGTGTACATAGTACATACACGTATCTGAAATCAAATTTATGATTAAATTTGAAATAATTCAAAGGATTTCAGTGTGCTTCTATAGCTGGAATCAATGAATATTTAGAATTGCAAAATTAGGCAAGTCAGTATCTCGTTTAACTGGACCAACACATTTCTTTTTCTTTAATAGATTTTTCTTCGAAAACGTAAAATTAATCTTCAAGGGTGCGAGGCTTTTCCTTTTCTCTGCTATTTTGTTTTTGACCAGTCCCTTCTTTTTCTTCATGTTGGTTAGAAAATTGATTAAAGAGTTGACCACAGTGCCGGACCTCTCAGATGTGGTCAGGTGATGCAGGTGAATGTTATCCTTGGTCAGGGATTCGTATCCATTCTGTATCAGGTAGAGACACGTGTTCTCTCTGCCTGTAGAAAGCGCAAAGTCGATGAGGGTTTGGCCCGAAATGTCTCTCTGATAAGGATCTGCACCTGAAGAACAAACAAGCATTAATTCAAAAAATAATGTTAATCAAAATGTAGTTTTTAAAGTTATTTTTAAATGAATTGATTTAAAAAATATATTTACCTGCTTCAAGGAGAGTTTTCACAATCAAAACATCATCAAAAAGAACAGCTCTCATGAGAGGAGTCTGGCCTAAGAGATTTTTAACATTGAGATCGGCACCTGGAAAAGAAATCAAGTATTAAGAAACATCACTTTTTTTAAATTGAACTATGATTTGGTAATGATATAAAAAGGAATGCAGTATTGTAGTACGTTAATTTATATTGTTTACTCTCATATCATTTTCCAATGCTAAATAAAATTTTAAAAGCTAAATCATACCATATTCTTTGAGAAGTTTTATCATCGTGATCTCTGATTGATCTACAGCTTCATGGATGGGATAATGGTTCGAATTGTCTGCTTCATTTGGATCACAGCCCTTCTCCAGTAACTCCCTGGCCAAGCCTTTATGTCCAAAACGAATGGCATAGAAAATCAAGGACTGTCCCTTAGCATTTTTTGTAGTTATCTCTTCTCCCATAGCAAACAGATTCTTGGGTTCGGAATCAGCTCGTCCACGTGCTCCCCTTCTTTCGAAATAAGGCGAAAAAGAAGGTAAGCTGGACGAAACTTTCATCTGCAGCCCTGATCTAGACATTTTTTATCGATTTACAGAGGTTACTTTATTCTTGTAAGAGAAAAAGTAATCTGATTCGATTGTATTTAGAATGGAAGAGAAATGCAACTTCTTTTCTGAGTCGAAGGATTTATATATAGTCAACCCAACACTTTCGTCATGAAGCTCAACCCCCTTTTCTCACGCCGTCATGACGACATGGTGGTAACCTTGGATCCCATTCATAGGTAAGCTGTTTACCTTGTTATATCCTACACGAAACAGCACGCGAGAAAGGCAATAAAGCACATCTGATGTCCAATCAAAGTGTGTGCGTAATAATTTATGTTTACTCATCACATAATGATTAACGATATGTGTAATATCTTGTTGTTATAGTTTACTACGGTTTTTCTTATGATTGATACCAACAAATGAATATTCAAGGCAAAACATAGAGGAAGGGATTTTTTATTTATGATATTGGTATTAATTGAAATAATGCATTTCCAGTAAACACAATAAATTTTAAAGCTTAACATTTTACAAGAGTAGTACAACAGTTTGACATTTTTGCCGAGGTTTTTTCGAAGAAATCGACCCATTTAACTGAAAACATCTGATGAATTATGTTTAAATTTAAAATAGAACAAAAATGATGATTTGACTATGAAATAATTCCATGAAAGATTCCAAATGTTCTGGAAATGTTTTTCATGAAATGGGTTGTATTTAAGATGCCAGGACAATTATACATAAAACGTTTTAATTTATTGATTGATTGTTGTTTTACCATGTTTACACCCTTTTCTCACTCACTCGATAACAGACACCAAGTGTTTTATTTAGAAATGTACTTGGCACTCAGAACTACAAAGAAGTGAGGGTTCTCTATCGAACCAACCCTTCTCATGACATGGGAATAAACTTTTTAATGTCATGTCCGAAAGACCATTGACTTTGGCTTCTGAAACCGGGCGCTACCCATGTTATATGTCGAAGGTTGGTTACCGTGACATACGTAATCAAAAATAACGAAAGGTGATAAAGAGAGATTCAAAATGTTCTTGATTACGTGTAACTGATTGTTGTTTTAACTCCCTTGTGAGAACTTTTTTTTCTCACTCAGATGAATAAATGATGAATACAAATGGAATATCCTTGTGGAACTTAACCTATAAACCTTACTTCTCCAATCTACAATAAGAAGTGAGGGATGTTTAATATATCGTGTTATAATTAACAACTACCGTACCACGAGATCTACGCTTTCGAAGTCTTAGCTGATAGACCAATGTTTCTCACTGAAAGTTTGGCCAAGGAACATTCATTCCTTTTGTTATACGTTCAAGGTTTGACGCGGAACCAGGAACAGGATTCGAACCCGTACCTTCCGACCACAAAAAAGTACGTACGTACCCTACCAATGGGCTACTGCGACCGTGTGAGGAAAATTAACTCTACTTTTACCAATTCATATATGCAGACACTACAAGAAATTAAAAACGAGAACAACAAACAGTGACCTCTCTTAAAAGCTCGCATATGGCAATACAAATTATGACCAAACATGGACTTCATTATCTCGTCGCGACCGTATCTCGTTTAAAAATATCAAACGTCCATATCGAAATGCATCCTCGCAATGTCATGAGTCCTGAGTCAACACAATACCGTTGTCCAATGGCCACATATTGACTGCGGATCATGCCAGGGGTCCAACGACAACGTATTGACCCAGGATCTCTGTATTGCGAGGATGATCGAAACAACTTCATATGCAATTGATTATGGTATAATGATACATAAATTAGGGAACTTGAAAATAGAAAAAAATTGAAGTCATCATGTTAATCAAAATATATTTAGTTGTTAGTTTGCCATCGAACCTTTCTCAAGTAAAACATTCAAATATGAAACACATGTTTTTCAATGGTATACATCGAATCAATGTAGGAATAAGTCGGAATATTGTTTACTGATAAGATATCGATTTATCTCAATGTCGAATAGAAACTACTTCCTTTAATGAGGTCTGCTAATTACGGGATACAATTGGAACCAATGAAAATTCCAACAGTTTGTAAGAAGACCTAGTCTCTGTAAAACTTCATGGATATTTTCCATTTGTAACTCAGGAATCCTTTGAATGATAACTTAGAATCAGAATGTTCTGTTACTGACCTATTATAAGATTATTATTATTCATATTGCAAAGAGTTTAAAGCAGTGTTTATGATGTAAAAAGTTATATAAAGTGTTGAAAAAGATCAAATTCATTGTTTAACAAAATTTTGCATTTCAAATTTTTTAATTGTCATTTTTTAATACCGTATAAGTGGAAATTTTAGCAAGACGCAAATTTAACGATTTCTCCTTCGAAATGGTAATTTATTTTTAGCGAGAGATAATTTTAGCGATTTTAAAATGCTAACTAAAGAAGCTATTACATATAAAATGTGATAATTAATTCTTAGTGATATTTAATTTTAGCGATCTCAGGACCCTCGCTGATAATGCCAAAATTAAATCCTCGCTAAAAATTCTACTTATACGGTATAATATTTCAACATCTGAGTAATAGGCACTTTTTAAAATCTGTTTTAGAATACACAGGAAATTCCTTCTTCATCGCCGGTTGTTAATACATGTATTTTAGTAGGGTGATGAAAAAGATTTGGTATAGCATCTATTAGCACCCGTTTTGTATCTTTTTAAGGTTTTTCTTTCAAAATTTATGAATTACAATATACCGGTATACTGGTAATAAAGATCATATTGGTTGTTGGGAATAATAAATAGATATTACACAAAACTGACATGTGATTCAGAGAAGCTTCCTTGTTAAAGAGGTAAAAGTCTTGAAATTTGTTACTTAATAATTAAAACTAGTATAAATATTGTTTTTACTTCGTAAAGATGTCATTATGAAATAGAAAAATGTAAGTTTACATGGAAGTTCGTCTAAACCGTGTATACAAATGCGTTAAAGCTTTTAAATAAATGCTAATAACGCCCGAATACCACCCAAAAAATTACATAAATTACTTAATCCAGATTGAAATTTGATATATGAATACTAGTAATATCAAACAAAGGTTGAAATTTCACGAGTTATTTCCTTAGATAATACAATATTCCTCTTCTTATCATAAGACGCCGCTTTAGATGGTGATAATTCATGTAAGAAATGAAAATTACTTCAAGCTTGATGAGGTAATGATATGTACAATGCTTGAATACATACCGAAAGCATGTTAACTACCAGTAAAAAATGATACAGTTTGTACCTTAGTGCATAATCTCTTGCAAAGTACATCTGATCAGCATTAAATGTCTTTCTTCACCAGTTTAAGTAAACATTTAAAAAAAAGCCAAACACCGCCTCTGACATCAGTGCATGATTATAAATCGTAACAATTCCGAAACTTAAACTCAGGTAGGTCTAGTAGATAAACACCTGCTAGAACAGATTTATAATTTTACGTCATCATGGGTTTAATAAATAGATGGCGGATTTAATAAGACATTATCGTGACAATATAAACAAATGATTAGTGCATGGTTGTAACAGATTATATTTAATTAATTAATGGATTTTTAAAAAATACTCCTCGACAAGAACACTGTATGATACGAAAATTGAAATAGGACAGAAAGGACTATTAAGTGTCTGAACTGTTGATATTTGAAGAAAAATATAGGAATCAAAATAATTTCTTTTTATCTAAATAATTTATTTTGACAGAATATCATTAGTAGTGATAATTTGAAGTATTATTAGGGCAGATGAATAAAATTAATGTTAATCGGCGCATTGGTGCCGCCGTGAACAGTGTTGAAGATCAAAAGTCCATTAAACATTGGAAGTACAAAAAACTATCTTTAATCCGTAGTCATTTACTTGCATGAAATATATGAAGATAACGAACATTATTCAAGCACAAAAGTCCATTAAATAATACAAAATTGGAGCAGAGCAAACAGGGACTGCCAAAAAAAAAAATCAGCGATGGGATCAGATGCCATTAAGGTGTAAACATCCCCTGCCGACCGGTCTCAGCCGTTGTGAACAGTGTTGAAGCTCAAAAGTCCATTAAATAATACAGAATTGTTTATTGACAATACATCGTCGATATATCTATATGTCGGTTTGAAAGCCACCGCAAGAGTTTTCTTTTCACGTAAAAGATTTTGAACGAATTCTTTTTCATATGATTACAAAATAGGTTTGTTTATTATCGGGCACAATTGGTACCGATGGGAATTCCAAAAGACTGTTTGAAGAACCCGTCCCCAAACACCACAAAGGTATTGTAAACCAGACACTTGAGCATCTTTTAATATCATCTTCAGAGTACTTGTGTTACAATCAGATTTTTTAAAACAAAAATTTATGCAAATGTCCAATGACAAGATAAGTTAATTAACGGGTTCCATTTTTATTGAAAAAAAAAGCAGCTGCATGTCAATGATGGCAGAAAGTCTGGACTTTAATTTATCGTGGGGAATAGCTTTATATATAAAGTTGAAAAGTTGCAAGTTTTTCATATTTTAGAATTTAATAAAATTGTGTGGTTTTAAATTATCCAAAAGATCCTTGGAATTTTTTATTATCCACATCTGATTTATACCACTTCTGGAATATATTGGTGCGCAGAACTCTTAAAGTTTCTCCTTCACTTCTGTTAATACCTTAGTGAGGAGTTAAGAAAGAGGCTTGGTAGAACATTTTTTGGAACCCGCTATGTATCTTTGTTTGCATATATCTATTACAATTAGCCATATAGTCTACATTTATTGGTAATGCTGTAAAATATAATAATTGATTGAGATATTTGATATTAAAAGACTCTCAAGATAGGACTATAATCTTAATTTAGGTGAGTATGATTAATATTTAGCATCGGTTGACATTGGTCAATAACTGATAACCGGAAGAATTAAATGACAAAACAATCGCCACAAACAATCTTAAACGGCTTACATGTTTTATCAATGATATGACGTTACTTTGTAATAGATTTGTATTATTGAATCCTCTACCACCAAACAAGGACATAAATGGTCAAACATTCGGACCCGTACAGGTAAGTGTATTTCCAATATAGGAGTGCATGAATAGAGATTAGAGACAGCTGGTCGTGGTATTTTGGAGGCTTTGCTTATGACCAAGTA